TTGGGGCGCGTATCCAGGATACTTATCATGTCGGGATATTGTATATAGGGGCTGTTGGGGCGCGTCTCCAGGATACTTATCGCTTCGCGATATTGCTTGGCCATGGAAATTTATTCTGAGTGGGACAATGGCATGGCATTGGCATCTACTTGGAGTTTCATGTTCTAGGGAAAATAAATAGATGAACGGGTCTTCCTTTAAAAATTATACGTTCGGTTTATTTTTGCTAGCGTGATTAGGAATAACGGGTTAAGGGTGACGGGATCCTACAATTGCGAGATTTATCGATTCCAAGACCAGCCGTGCTAACATGCTAGCTTGATATGAATAAAAAAGTTTAGCACTAAGTCCGGCGTGCTTACTCTTGCTTTTTTAGAACATTACCGGGCCCTGCCACGATTTCTGTTACCTGCAGCGCCCGAGGTGCGCGGCGAGATAAGCAGGAGGACGCTTATCAGGCCGGGCAAGATAACGAGTGACAGCGCCTGCAACTACGCGTCTTCTGGTGCACGTGTGGAGTTTTACTCATCATGTTCGTAACTTTAAACTTAGTACTCATCAAGCTTACTATTTTTCCTGCACTCCATATCCTCCTTTAATTGTACAGGTTCAGTTTAAACATTTTATCGCGATTCTTTTTTGAGGACTGTAAAAAAGAAAGGAATTGATTGAAAAATGCCTGCACTGTCATAAGATTGCAGTTACAACTTCTGGGCAGAATTTAAGAAAACTCTGTTTCGCTTAGACTTCTGCCTTTAATTTGAAATAAGAACAAAGAACTCGTATAATGTAAGTAACGGCTAGCGGCAAATACAACTCTTATATTGATATTTGTTAAAATATAAATTAGTACGCATCCCCCATTATTCATAGAACAGTTTAATGTCTGTTCAGCTTCCCGACGTATTGACATTTTTGCCATTTTTTCTGAACCACTTGAGGATGGTGCAGATTTAGGGCGTTGTCTCCTCATTCGAATAACTCTGTAGTCAGCATGCAGCATTCCTCAGCAATCTATTTTGCTGGTTGTGGGCTAGGGAATTTTCGCTTTAATAGCGCCCAAAACGTTTTATACAGATGTTCCTATATTAATTTTCATGTGTTTAGTAGTGTATCGGAGCTGCTGCTGTCGCGCGCATCTAACAATATCTCAGCGTACGGTCTTGCAGCTGAAGCAGTAATTAGCATATGAGTTTAAGCGGATCTGAGATCTGCGCTAATGTTCCAGAACAGCAGGAGCTAGAAATTCTGATATGTTCTGAACCTTTCCCGCGCGCCTCGGTGGACATTATTGGACCACTAAGGTCAGAAAATTGACAGAAAACTCGAAATTGGGTTTTCTAATTGGGATAAATGAATTTGACCATAAAGACGAAAAATTATTTTTTTATATTTTCGAATAAGCACCCACAAGGATTTCCGAGTTGGGGCTTGCAGAATTCTAATATTTCAGAGACATGGGCACGCCGGCTAGCCCGATAGTTTGAAATAAATGAAAAGTTTTAGTACACAATCTGTCGTACTAATTCATACTTTTTTGGGTGATTTCGAAGTCCTGCCACAATCCGTGTTACCTGCCGCGCCTGAGCTGCGCGGCGAGATAAGCAGGAGGCCGCTTATCAGGCCGGGGAAGATAACGAGTGTCAACGCCTGCAACTACGCGCCTTCTGGTGCGGCTTTAGCTTTTAAATTACACATTTGTGACTCCAACTAAGTATTCATCTAGCTTTCTCATATTAACCTTAAAATCGTCTATCGGTTCATTAGGAAATTGGTGTGAGCAGCCGTTTTTACGGCTCAATGAAACAATAAAATAATTAGAAAAATATCAGTAAGGCCACCGATTCTACCTAAGTTCGATGGACGTTACCTAAGTTCAATAAGTGGCGTTATCACTTAAGGGCTGCCGCCTCAAACTTGTAACAGAGCGTAAGTAACTAATTCGTCCCTAACACCAGCTCCCGCGATTTTTAATTGTTGTCATTATTTAAGCGACATGATATATTATACCTGGTGGCAAGTTCAGCTTTCATTTTTCGTCAAGGGAGCGTGTGGGTAGGAACAGCATTAATTTCTTAACCGATATTGATGACATTTTATATTCACATGTAAAACATCTTTATAAGCACTTTTTGTTCGTATAAATTTATTGAGAAAACGAAAACAAACATAAAATGCAAAGAAAATTTAAAAGATTAACTTTTAAAAACTTTAGAACTCGTATAGTTTTGAAAAATAACATTATATTCCTAACACAAATGACCGTTGCATATAGAGCTCCTTCGTCAATTGAACGGCCGCACAAAATATATGACGTTATAAGTGAAATTGATGCATATTGAAAAACTTCTAGGTTCTTTGTTGAGTCGCGCGGGTATACCCAGGCGTCTAGAGGTCAATGCGCCCACTCAGATTCTCAGTGCTCTCTGTACTTGAGTTCTCAGCCTTCACGTGTCATTGCACGGACTTCGCTATGTACTTAAAAATTATTCTCATGGATATAGTATTTGAACATGCGGAATATACTAATCAGATGGCAGCACATAACATCGCTATGAAAACTGCATTGATGGACGTAGAATGCTTATTTCATTGAGAAAAAATCATTTTAGTAACAGTAGTTATGACTAATGAATCGTTTTACATCAGAATTATTCGATCATAGTCAGGGAACAATCGTTCCAAAGAGCAATAATATTATTATTCAGTGAAAGTTTTATCGCAGCACCAAGTTTATATTTTTAAGAGGGGTTGCAGTATTTAGTATAATAATGAATTGGATTTTAACTGCATAACTTGCGCCTATCAGCTTCTTAGAGTTGACTCGATTGAGATTAACGTTATTGCGTCAGCCTGAGGGCATTTAGTCTTAAGCATGACCTCTCGTGAAGTCAGCGTGGCCCATGGAATTAATTATATGTCGATCTAACATTGAGTAGCGTACATTACAAAAGTCAGGTAGCGAAAGAACTAGCGCTTTGTACTTTGCACCTAAACACTTAAACCAATCTACACCACCTTTCTGTCGACATTTGAATTTGGAAAGAAAGAACGCACGGTGTGGTTGCACAGATTATGTGGCAATACCCTTTGTATGAATACATGCTTAAAATGACATTAATAACTTTCATTATACGATGTGCGACATGCATGGTGCGGAAGGATCATATAGATGTTGTCGCCATTGGCGTCGTTCCGACACAGGTCAATATGCACAATTTATAAAATACATAAATTTAACAGGCTCATTTAAAAGGGAAAAATACTCAGCTTATGTGCTGCAAGTAGTTCCCGACGCTTGCTGAAGTCCACGCGCGTATAGATCCCGCAGAGATTCGTGTGGCACGTGGAGATAGATGCGCAGTCCCCGCGTGGTACGGGCACGTGGTATGCTGCTGGCGCTTTTTCTTCATTTTTTTCTGGCTGAAAGCTCGATGCTCTCTCGCCTCCTCCTCTTCTTCGACGCTTCCCTTGAACGACGTGGAGGGTGCATCATGATGCGTAGTCTCGATCGTTGCGCATATAAAAGGTCGCTCATTGCTAGTCGTTGATGCACTGAAAGCGTTGCGCTGTGATTATCCAATATCGCCCGTGCAATTTATTACTTAGCTGCGGGTCTTGTATATAGTTGCTGTAGCCGTGGTATTCTTCGTCGCTGAATTCTTCTCGTAGACCATGTCGAAGTCCGATGCTCAAATTTTAGAAGTAGTAGATGCTGGAGAGCTTTAAGTCTTCGGAAACTTCTCCTACACAGTATTCTGTGTAGTCACTGATCTATAATCACTCGATAATCACTTTGCTAACTGGTCGGTGCACCACTGTAACAGGTTACGATTTGATAGTGGACGATGCGATATTGAATCGTAATTAAGTTTGACCTGAGGGTAGTTCGTATGTAGCGGAATCCGAGAATATAGAGGAACAGCGTAAACGATTATATAATATACTTTTAAGATTATAGTTCGGCTTACAGTTTAGGATAATAAGTTTATAAGTTGGAGCCCTAACAATGATGTCTTCGGCGTCCAGTTGAAGTATGGATAAGTCTATAGTGTATCTTCTACTCTGACGTTAATTTAGAGTTACTGTCCTGTTAGTTATGGACAGGAGAATGGGCGTACACACGACTGTTCTCGGCCCATGACTGAAGTTTCCGCGTCTGAGCAGAGCTCATATAGCTTCGCTATTTGACGTCACCAAGGGCGTTACTTGATTAACAAGAAAGGCTAATACAAGGAAATGCTTATGAACATATCGAATGTGAAGGAGATTATCTTTCAACAAGGAAGATATTAATGAGGAAATATCCAGGGACGAATGGTATCAACATTGTCGCCTGACAGATCTTCCTGTACATGTAATGTCCTCAAGATTAGGTGAATTATTTGAATGTGAATTTTAGGCAACTAATTGTTTGTACCTGTGTTCTAGGTTTTGAACTGACGACGGAGCTTGACTCCGAAACGTTTCTCTTATAGGAAATGGTGAACTTTTTGGCTATATTCTCTACTTTTAAATTCATTCATCCAAGAGCTAGGTCTAAAGTCAGCAATCCGACTATTTTATGAAATTATCAGATGAAACAATTGTTGCAATGAACTGAGCAGGAGCATATCATTAAGCTTTGATGTAAAAGTAACTATAACTGATAAAGATCAAATCCCCCCTGATGTCAACCACTCATATCACTCCTGAGGTTATCTTTCTCTCCAATTCGCTCCCATCTCATTTATATATTATTTGCCGTAAGTAATTCCTTAATTATTATGAGCTTTGATGCATATAGTACCATTTCTACCTTATATTCTCAAGGATAAAATTTATAAACAATCTTCGATCTGTACATTTTTAAAGCGAAGGAAACCTCAAAGCAACGTAAAAGACAAATTTTATTAAATTGCAGCCGTAGTCATCAAATTTTCTTCTCAAGTAATAATGCGTACTTTGCTTTCGTCTTTCCGGTTTTATTACTACTTTTTCAACTCAACAGATTCTGCGTAATGGCCGGCCAGTCAGTGCAGACCAGCTCGACGCCTGCCGCAGTACATATTGCTGATGAAATCTATGCGATTTACCGCAATATTGCTGGTGTGCTGTACGTGGCCCCCAAGGTCATCCGATTCGTTTTCAGCAAAGAAAGTGTCGACAAAAAGAGCGACGAGAGCTACAAAAAATACATGGAACGCCTAAAGGGCAAGGAATTCAGTAAAACGGAATGGAAGCGTCATGGCGGAACAATCGCGGAAGATTTGAGCCACCCTGATGATTTAGACATCACTGCGTTGTTCTGCCTGCTGGAGAAACTTTCTAGGATACATGATGAATGCTGGAGGAGCGTAGAATTTGCCGATTCAGAAAATATAAGTGAAGAAGGTTACCTGACAACCGTTACAGCGATTATTGGTGGTGGTGGACAACCTGCCAATAATGAGGAACTTCCTGGTGGAGATGCAAAGTGTCCACTTGAAAAGCTGTCTCGCTTAGATAAGAATGGCCTTCCGAGGGACGTTGATAAACTGTTCGACAAGTTGCGCAAGGTCAGGAATTTGCGAGTCAAAATCATGCACGAGTTCGAAGAAACATCAAACCCTCGAAAATTCAGTGATTTGAAGACTGCACTGTTAGAGCTAATTGAAGAAGCAGAAAGGGTCTATTCACTACCACAGTCCGAAGTTGAAGCTCAGAAAAAAAATGTACATGATGACTTCGAAAGCCTGCAGAATCCGGACGAAAAGACCGTTTATTACTGGTGTACAAGATTGGATATGTCAGGAAAACTGGCAGTGAAGAATCTCTGGAGAACCAAACTAACCGAAGAGATCCTCCCGCTAGACAGCAGCATTGTGCAGCGTCCGGAAGTATTTCATTCTCTCGACGTGATGGTGAGACGGTCAAGACGTGAAGGCTCTAATGATCAAGTTCTTCCGTATACAGAAATTTTCAAGGCTCCTGAGAAAGCAATTATAGTTTCCGGTGTTGCTGGTGCCGGTAAGACTACTCTTCTAAAAAACATCGTGCTTCAGTTTTTCGAGCTAGGGGAAGGAAATGCTGATTACCTGCGGCAATTTGACCAGCTCATCTTATTCGAGTGCAGGGATCGTAACACTGAAACACTGGCTGACGTCATCGAGCAACACTTTAAGGCTCTGTGTAGGGAATTAGAGGGTAAACGAAATGTCCTTGATGCCCTCTTACTTCTACGCGCCCTATTTGTCATCGATGGGTACGACGAAGTAAACAAAGTTTCATACAACGTAGTGAGTGAGATCATCAAAGAGACTTCAAGCAGCAACTGTCGGGTGCTGATCACGACTCGTCCTCGCCGGAGTGCGAAGGAAAAGCTGGAAAATTTGCTTGCTATTAACAATGTCACTTCTACCGAATTCGAGATCAAGCCGCTCACTGAGCTGGGCGAGCAGCTGGAATTTTTGACAAGGTATGAGGAGGGTTTAGGCATCAAACGAGGTGAGATGACAGAAAGCTTCATAACGCTGAAGCAAGATGTCAAAAGTCTGTTCACCGAACCCATCAACTTGATTCTTTTCTGCGACATGCATAAGCACATGCCTGAGACAATTTCGTCGTGGGAAAAGCCCGGGGACGTGGCGACTGATATTCTACGCTTGTATAAGAAGCTTGTCACCATAAAGCTTGCTGATGTGACTCATCTTGAATGCAAAGCCATGTTAAACGATCTATTTGTTGTCATTGGGAAAACAGCGTTGGAATTTATTCGTGAAAACGCTGGAACTTTCTCAGAAGAAGAACTGCTTCAGATTCAAGAAAAGTGTATTCCGATACTGCTTAACAAGGTAGAGTGTAGCCCTGAAATTATCCTCTCGGTGGTGCTGAGAGTAAACAGACCTCTTTCTGGAGCCGGGGAAACCACCTACACTTTCCATCACAAATCCATCCAAGAAATGTTTGCTGCCCATTTCATTGTGCAGCGCATCCTAGCCAGCGGTGACACCCTGAAGAGTATTCTGGAGGCCAAGCCTCAGGAAATGAGCAGGTAAGGAGGCAGAGAGAAATGCAAGTCGTTTTGAGTAACTTAGTTAACGATACTAACAAAAATTCCCGTAATTTTCGCGCGGCAGTCATAGACAGTAAATTTTTGATGCACTCGTAACTGTTATAACAGACGGGAAACGGATCTTTAATTATAGGGCAAAATTTTGATGCGTTCTCTCATTCCAGTGAATGCAGGTGACACTCTACTAGGTTACTTGTTACAGACATCTTTAATTACTCTTCACAATACCCGATATGTTGATATAATTTATGTAGATTTTAACAAGACATTGAACTCGTCGGCGGGAAAATATTGGGCCTTGTTTTTCGAAGTTTATCATGCCAAATGAACAAAAGCAAGTTGGAATAATGACCACATGCATGCCGCTCTGATGGCATGAGCTGCATGCCGCTGTGATGGCATGAGCTGCATGCCGCTGTGATGGCATGAGCTGCATGCCGCTCTGATGCCATGAGCTGCATTCCACTCTGATGGCATGAGCTGCATGCCACATTTCTTAACATTATACAAGCAAGAAACCAAAACATTCCACAAGCTGCACACGACGTACAGGCTTGACTCCCACAATAAATCCCTACCCACTTGTAATCCCCCAGGCTGCGGGAGGTGCTGCTGTACGTGGTGGCGGCCCTCAGCAGGGACAGCCCCCGCCACCTCACGCGGCGGTGGGGGGAGCTTAAGGAGGCCCTGAGGGAAGCCCTGGGTGAGGCCCGCCTCGCTGGCGACTATGTGAGGGACTTCGTCGCGCGCTGCCCCGACCGCGCGTGGACGGTGGCCGAGCTCGCTGCTCTGACGAAGGACGGGGAGACGTGGCACGTTAAGAACGGTGGGTGACGTGTTGGGTGTGATGGTGACGTGTTGGGTGTGATGGTGACGTGTTGGGTGTGATGGTGACGTGTTGGGTGTGATGGTGACGTGTTGGGTGTGATGGGTGACGTGTTGGGTGTGATGGATGACGTGTTGGGTGTGATTGATGACGTGTTGGGTGTGATGGATGACGTGTTGGGTGTGATGGTGACGTGTTGGGTGTGATGGATGACGTGTTGGGTGTGATGGTTGGTGTGTTGGGCGTGATGGGTGACGTGTTGTGTATAATGAGTGATGTGTTGAATATAATTGTGGCGTGTTGGGTGTGATGGGTGACGTGTTGGGTGTGATGGTGATGTGTTGGGTGTGATGGATAACGTGCTGAGTGTGATGGGTGACTGGTTGAGCGTAATGGGTGACGTGTTGAGTGCAATGGTAACGTGTTGTGTGTGATGGGTGACGTGTTGGGTGTGATAGGCGACGTGTTGGGTGTAATGGGCTTTTGTTTGGCTTTGTTGGTTACGTTGTGGTTGTCCGCAGGTCGTCATGTTGCTTCAGTCGTTGCAATGTTAAGTCACAATAAGCCATCTCGAGTGGATGTGGACATGGAGGCCGCGGCCCTGAGGGGGGCGCCGTGGGGGGCGCTCGTGGCGGCGGTGGGGGGCGTGGAGGTCTGGCTGAAGCTCGAACCCCTCGACGAGCCTCACGACGACCTCCTCCTGCCGTTGCACGACAGCGGGTAAGAATCTGTAGGTGCATGTAAAAACCTGTAGGTGCATGTAAGAACCTGCAGGTGCTTGTAAGAATCAATAGGTGCATAAAAGAACCTGTAGGTGCATGTAAGAACCAGTAGGTGCATGTAAGAATCTGTAGGTGCATGTAAGAACATGCAGTTGCATGAATGAACCCCGCAGGTGCATCTAAGCACCTGTAGGTGCATACAAGAACCTGTAGGTGCATGTAACAACCTGGAGTTTCATGTAAGAACCTGTATGTACATGTAAGAACCTGTTGGTGCATGTAAGAACCTGTATCTTATGACCTTATGATGAGTTTAGGATTTCGTAGTCAAGGTCACGCTGATGCGCCGCCTTCGTCGTCCTCCGTCTCTGAGTTGTCGCTAGGCAGGTCAGCCAGCCTTAGGGTCCCGGATGTATCATTGGACGTATTCCGCATATTTGCCCTCCTTTGTGCCAGCTGATGCAAGATGCTGTTGCTTTTCACTTGCTGAGGGTAGTTTCCCACTACTGGACAAACCGGGATCCTTCTCAACCAATTGTCCAGACGTCTCTTGAATATTGCTAGGGTGAACTCCATCCTCTCAGCGCTTATGGCAAGGCATTAAAGAGCCTCGGTCCTACCACGGACAGCGATCCCTCACGATTGTCTGTACTTTGGCTGCGGCTCGGTTATTAAATGGAGGAACTCTGCACAGTCTACCCCTCCTTTCGTTGTAATGTGTCACTATTCTAGAGGTCTCACATTCAAAGTTGGGAGCCAGTCTGGTTATCATCTTCCAAGTGTCCAGTATGATATACCACTCTCTTCTCCTCTCCAGTGAGTACAGTCCCAGTAGTTTTATGCCTGTCCCAGTAGTTTCGGTTCAGCTCCTTCATGCCGCTAATCTTGTACGTGAAGGTCACCTGTACTGCCTCCAGTTTCCGCACCGCACCCACCTTGAGCGGCGCCCAAAGCTGACAGCAGTATTCAAGATTGGGGAGCACTGGGGCTCAGATGAGTGTAATCATTGGTGCTGCTTCTCTTGTTCGAAATGACCGCCAGATACATCCCATCCTTTGTCTCCCTCGCGCAACTATTTCCTCGATGTGGTCATCGAACGTGGCTTCAGTACACATCAACACTCCGAGATCTCGAACTATTTGCTTGCTTCTCTTCAATTTCTGTGCCATGTGATGCCAAGTAGCGATGTTGCATCCCGATCTCCGTGCCAACTCTGTATCTCATTACTTCGAACTTGATGCCGCTGAATTAGGGCTTGATGCCGCTGAATTAGGGCCCAATCATAGATTGTCGACAAGTCGTCCTGTAACCTCTCGCAGGCTAGGTCCTCTGTGATCTTCATCAGCACTCTTGTATCGTCCGAAAATGACGATGTAGATGCATGGGTAAGTTCTGAGTCGATATCAGCGATGTGGATGAGGGGAGGATCGGTCCAGCACCGAGCCCTGTGGCACACCGCTTTTCACTCTAGTTTCTCTCGATATTTAGTTTCCAATTGCTACAGCGTGTACTCTTGTTTGGAGTTTGTGGATCCACCCTAACAGGTTTTCTCCTACTCCCAACAGTCTCAGCTTTCTGAAGAGCACCCCATGGTCAACCTTGTCAAAAGTTTTGGTCAAGTTATATTACGTGTACGCCAGCTCCCTCCTCCAGCTGAACTACCAGGCGGGGATGGTGCTCCAGTAACTGTGACAAACAGGAACGATTACGTCGGAAACCATGTTGTCCATTATTATACTGGTCAGCCTTTCACTTATACTGGACAAGCCAACAACCTTCTCGAAAACTTTGACCACATGTGAGGTCAAAGTTATGTAGTTTTAGGGTGTTTCCCTCGAGCCTCCTTTGTGGATTGGCGTTATCAGTCACACTTCTAGGCCCTCAGAAATAATTCCCTCCATCATCGAGGCGTTCCAGAGCGTTGTGAGTGGGGCCTTCAGAGTTCCAGCACACTTCTTCAACAGCACTGCCGGAACTCAAAACGGTCCTGGTACTGAGAACGACGTCAGTCCTTTGATATTTATTTATATATCTTCTGGTACACACTCGATGTTCTCCGATCCCCTTCCACCTGGTCGCTTCTGTAGAATTCCGATTTCATTTTTTGGAAAAACTCGCTTGAGTACCGGGGGTTACTGAACACTGATTCTAACTGTGATCCTGTAGCGGTCCAGTTCAATATTTAAGATTTTTGTATTAATAAATAAAAAATTTAGAAATTTAGAATTAGATTTAATTTTAATATTAAGATTTGTTTATATCTGAACGTAACCACAGCTGAATACGACAATAGCCAACTTCATTCCAGCTTTTAGTATATTTGATACATTGCACTAGAACCTCTTATTAGAGTAAGTACTAATGTGTTGCAGCAGTCATCCTGTACTAATTACTTTGTTTAATAGATAATTTGATTTATACTGTTTATAATCGTTTCTATGTATTTGTATTTATGTAACTTGTAACAATCTGTTATTTATACAGGGTTCTATACTGAGACCAGAAAAAGCGTCTATTAATTCCCTCAATCCTGATCGTGAGATGCTTTAATCCCAGTAACTCACACATGCCATGGTCATCTCCGACAATGACTTCGTTATCCTTAAGCGGGCCTACTGGCGTCTTTATTTTAGCCTTGGACTGAGCGTATTTAAAAAATACTTGGGTTCTTTTTGATGACCTCAACCACTCGCTCTTCCGCGGCTTGTTCTTCCATCCTGTGTGTGTCGTGAAGCCTGCGTTCGTTTTCCATGAGCAAATCTACTAGTCTCTGCCTCCTCAGATCACTAGTGGATTCTGCTATTTGTTTATTTAATCTCTTGCGTTTTCTCATGGGGATTCCATTACAATGGATTGCTGGTCCATCACAATGGATTGCTTGTCCTTTACAATGGAATGCTGATCCATCACAATGGACTGCTGGTCCATTACAATGGATTGCTGATCCATTGCAATGGATTGCTGGTCCTTTCCAATGGATTGCTGGTTCATTCCAATGGATCGCTGGTCTATTAAAATGGATTGCTGGCTCATTATACGCCTAGAGTTTGGAAACGTTGCATGGTCATCGAGATTTGAAAAGGACAGAATATTAATAGAGAATGTTCGAAGACGTGCAACAAGGATAATTCCAGGCTTGAAGGACAAGTCATATGAAGAAAGATTGAAGATTATGAAGCCTCCAAGCCTCAGTCATCGACGTCTGCGTGGGGACCTCATTGAAGTATACAAGTATACTCATGGTTTATACAAGGTCCCCGAAGGATTACTATAATTTGCAACAAGAACCAACACCAGGGGCCACGGCTATAAACTAAAAAACTGCGCTGCAACTTCTCCACGCGACAAAATTTCTTCTCGCTTCGAAACACCGACATGCGGAACAGCCTCCCCGATGACATCGTTGGCGCTCACAGTATGAACGCGTTCAAGAACAGACTAGATAAAGCTATGGAAAAATATATGTTCAGATTTGAAATGCCTAGCACCATATTGAAGACAGTGGAAGTCTAGTAGCTACTTCAAACTATCGTTCAAACTAAAGATCCGGTCAAATGACATGATTTTAGATCTTCTGTGAACAAGGCACGAAAAGGAAAAGAATCGGCGACAGGCCACATCAGGCCTACACTTCAGCGCCGAGATCAATATGTTATGTTATGTTATGTTATGTTATTACAATGGATTGCTGTTGCATTACAATGGATTGCTGTTGCATTACAATGGATTGCTGGTCCATTACAATGGATTGCTGTTCTAGTACAATGGAATTCTGGTGGACTATTACAATGGATTGCTAGTCCATTGCAATGAATTGCAGGTCCATTTTAATGGATTGCTGTTCCTTTACTATACATTGCTGGCCCATTAGAATGGATTGCTGGCCAATTAGAATGGATTACTGTTCCATTACAATGGATTGCTGGCCCATTACAATGGATTTCTGGTCATTTACAATGGATTGCTGGTCATTTACAATGGATTGCTGGTCATTTTCAATGGACTGCTGGTCATTTACAATGGATTGTTGGTCTATTACAATGGAATACTGGTTCACTACAATGGATTGCTGGCCCATTCTAATAGATTGATGGTCTATTACAATGGATTTCTGGTGGTCCATTACAATGGATTGCTGGTCCATTAAATTGGATTGCTGGTCCATCACAATGGATTGCTGGTCCATTACAATGGATTGCTGGCCCATTCTAATAGATTGCTGGTCTATTACGATGGATTTCTTGTGGTCCATTACAATGGATTGCTGGTCCATTTTAATAAATTGCTGGTCTATTAAAATGGATTTCTGGTGGTCCATTACAATGGATGGCTGGCCCATTAAATTAAATTGATGGTCCAAGGAATACTAGAATTTGAAATAAGAACCAACACCAGGGGCCACGGCTATAAGCTAAAAAACTGCGCTGCAATTTCTCCAGGCGACAAAATTTCTTCCCGCTTCGAATCACCGACATGTGGAACAGCCTCCCCGATGACATCGTTGGCGCTCCAAGTATGAACGCGTTTAAGAACAGACTAGATAAAGCTATGGAAAAATATATGTTCAGATTTGAAATGACTAGCTCCTTATCGAACCCGGTGGAAGTCTAGTAGCTACTTCAAACTATTGTCAGTCAAGAAAAGATCCGGTCAAATGACACGATTTTAAATCTTCTGTGAACAAGGCACGAAAAGGAAAAGAATCGGCGACAGGCCACATCAGACCTACACTTCAGCGCCGAGATCAATATGTTATGTTATGTTATTACAATGGATTGCTGGTCCATTAAATTGGATTGCTGGTCCATTACAATTGATTGCTGGTCCATTACAATGGATTGCTGGTCCATTACAATGGATTGCTGGTCCATTACAAAGAATTGCTGGTCATATTCATGCCTCCCTTCACCCCCCTGGGGGACAGGGTGAAATTGGTGAGGTTCATCGGGCGCGAGTGCCCCGCAGACCCCAGCGGGCGCGTGGGCCCCGCTGACGTCTCCACCATCACTTTAGCAAAGAACGGTGCTGTCCTCACCGTCCGCATGGCGGCGCCCCTGGACCTCAGCGCCCTCGCGGGGACATACGACCTCCTCAGTGAGTCTCGCACAGCACGGGGGGCAGCGCCTCTGGGCCCGTGGGCTCCATACAATTATATATTGTATAGTCGTTCTTTTTGTAATGTTCGGTGATTATTCACCAAGATAAACGCCAAATGACAAATAACATAATCTTTTAAATATATTTTAGTAATTTAAACATATGAACAAATTAATTAATTAATCTGCTTATCGACCTTAATCAAGGAACTACAAAATGCGCGTAATTATACATAAGCGGATTTATATATGGTATAAAATAGTAAAATATGACAGATAAAATGTTATATTAAAACCAAATGTTATATGGTTCATTGTTACGAGTATAATGCATATTATTTAACGTATATGTGTATTATATTATGAACATATGTACTTGGATAAAACTGTTATTTTGTGTCACTTTTATCTTGCATTACTGTTATATTGCATTACTGTTATCGTGCATCACTGTTATATTGCATCACTGCATGTTATCTTGCATTACTGTTATCTTGCATCACTGTTATCTTGTATTACTGTTATATTGCATTACTGTTATCTTGCATCACTGTTACCTTGCATCGCTGTTATCTTGCTTCACTGTTATCTTGCATCACTGTTATCTTTCATCACTGTTATCTTGCATCACTGTTATCTTGCATCATTATTATCTTGCATCACTGTTATCTTGCATTACTGTTATCTTGCATCACTGTTATCCTCATTGTTATCTTATTTGACCTGCGCAGGGGTGTACACGCACCCCCTTCCGCCCTCTGGCCCCTCCTCCCCCACGTGGCCGCTGCCCCCTTCCCCTCTCCCATGGCTATGCGTGGAGGGGGCGGATGAGGGGTCCTGGGAGGCCGTGGCCCACACAATCACCTCCCTTGCCCCCCCTGGCAAGAGGTGCGTAGCCCCCCGACCCCCACGGGGGAATTAGAGTTGCATTTGTTATACATCGTATATTTATATATCGTATAGTTACACATCGTATATTTATACATCGTATAGTTATACATCGCACAATCATACATAGTATAGTTATAAATCGTATAACTATGCATGGGGGGAATGACACTGCAGTTTGTGTGCCCAGGTTCAGGTGGCTGGCGCTGCGTGGCTGCAGGCTCCATGCAGAAGAGCTGCCGCCGCTGCTGCTGCAGCTGCGTGACGACAGCGTGCGGACGGACGACAGGGGCGACACGTGCGCCTGGGTTGATGGCGAGTGAGTGGACGGCGGCCACTGAACTGTGCGCCAATATTCCTATATCATTAAATTATATTCTCATACGTAGATCACAATGATAGTAGTATATATGTTTAAATGCGACTGATGACCTCCACAAAATGAAACAAAATGGCGACCAAGGTGATGGCCCGCCCACTCAAATGGCAGCCAATCATTGTACCCAGCGCCATCATCACGACAATCATTATCATTTGATATATCAGGATAATATGTCCTCATTATTGTTAATGCTATATCTTAATCCTCAATTCATATCAATTATATATATAATTTAATTATGTTATGTTATATTGTACTATATTATTTTCAGCTCCCTAGGTATATTATTAATAATATTCAATATATTTGATTTAATATAATATATGTATACATAACATCAATCCAATATCATAATTATTTCAATATATTAATTCTTTATAATCTTATAAGATTGTATGGAATTAAAATAGTCATTAGATCATCTTATCTTTAATATATTAATGATAAGATGATGGCGCTCTGTCATTGGTCGCCATTTGCCGGGATGTGATAGCACCACAAAAGATGGTGGTTGCTGGCATGCCACATGCCACATGCCACGCAAGATATTCACTGCCGCACTCCCACAGGGATGGGGATGTTTTCCTCCGCATCACGGACCAAGTGCCCCCCGCGGGGAGACCAGCGGTGCCCAGTGACGTCGAACTGCGGGAGGCGCTACAGGAATACCTGCAAGAACGCTCGGGCAAGGAACTCTAGGACGGGAAATTTGCTGATTTTCGGCTCGGGAAAGATTTGAAGATTTTAATGCGTCTGATCTTTATTTCATTTCCTAAGGCGTTAAGAGGCCCGTTCAACGCGCTCAGCCGCGGTAGTCGTCAATGGACATTCTTAACTATGAATTCGACAGATAACTCCTCTCATAAATAAGATAAAAATCTGAAATTTGGAATGCTATCTTGGCTAATTATTTTCAATCTGTGGACATTAAGATAAATTATATAAACTTTGTATTACCAGTGTTATCGCTAACGAAAATTTTGAACCATAAGGATCGTAAAACGAGCGACTTTTCTGACATTTTCGCGATACCAGTTTGTTTAACTCGTTATTCTTCATTGATCGCTATACCAAGCATTTCTGAATAATTTTTCTGGTTGTAGTTATATTCGTTTTTAACAACAGTACCGTGAATTTTCCGTAGATTTAATCGAGATTTGCCCCTTCGTTGTTGCACTTGGCAG